GCCTTACATCAAGTTTGTCCCAGGCCCACATTGGTGGTGGGTGAGTATCTCAGGTCTGTGTAACCCTCCCAGCCCTCAGCTGCAGGTTGTGTGACCAGTCTGGTGCACGCTGAGAGTACATCTGCCTCCAGGGCCTGTAGGCACAGTCTGGTGAAAGCCTTTAGTGACCAACATAGCCTAAACCAAAGGTAATTCAGTGGGCTAAAGCTGTTTTCAGAAAGCAGTAGAGGACTAGAGTTCTTCACATCTTGAAAGCCCTCTTCAGTCTGTCTTTCTATTAAAGCAAACGGAAGTTTGGAAAGTTTCAGGCCAGCATCTCTAACTGTAGTACTTTCCTCTGGTGCTTTGATAATTTTTTATTTCTCCCATGCAAATCTTGCCATTATTATGACATCAAGCCATGTAATCTGACAGTCAGGCATTACTGTGCCACCTCAGTGGCTTTTGCTGCATCCCACTCCTACCCTGCTGCTCCTTCAGCAGTGATGACGTTTATTCCTCATCCCCGCACTTTACATCATGGTTGGAGGAAGACAGGCATGTGTTTAAAAGTGGCGGCCAGCGCGTCAGTGGGGAATAAGCGGCTTCATCACACCAGGAACAGGTGTATTTGTATGCATGAAAAACCCAAATCTGCAAGACGTGAGTTTGTGTAACTGAACTTCAGCCCATTAGGAATGAGAGGTTCCTATACAATACAAATGGAGGATTAACTATCTAGGTTGGCTTCCTGTCTGATCAGGCTGATGAATTGACGCTAACCAGGGCAGAGTCAGAGGTTGGATAGGAGAATGTGTCAGGGTATGACTCTGAGAATGAACATGTATGCTTAAACTGTGGGTTACAACATTTTAAAATGTAGATCCTGTGACACTGTTCTGCCATACTCTCTCAAAAGTGATTACAGTTTACAGTTTAACTTTGCATCAGCTTCCTTTGAAGCACAGACCTCCTATCAACATTATCAATGCAACTTTTAGTTTTGCCATCGTCTAATTCCTGACAATATTTTAAAATCAAAGTGCCTTGTTTTAATCTAATATACTACATTCCAAATACTGTTTCAGTTGCATAACCTTCATTTTCAGCATCTCTTAAAGTTACATTTTAGGAGCATCTCTATGACACGTAGGTCTATTCAGCTAAGGATGTAGTTAACAACAAACACCAGTGTGCTAACTTGCAAACTAGGGGGAAAGATTTCTTTATTTAACAATGAGGTTTTTAAGTAGTGGGATCTTGGCTTTTGTGAGATAAACTTCTACGTCAGTGTGGGAATAAGACGTTTTTGTTTGGTTTTTGGTTTAAACTGTAAAGCTTCCATCTTTTGTTGAATCACTGTAGGTACACCTAGCTTTTAGAAAGCAGCTTGTCCCATACTGCGTTGAAATAAAGAAAGGAAGACATGAACAGAATGTGGGAATAGGGCTGTGAGAACAGAATTAGTTGAGCTCAATAGTTGCTTCATAGAAAAGATAACTTGGAACTGAAGAGAGGAACAGAACAGTTGCTTCAAGGCAGAACATTATCGCCAGCAGCTAACTGCAGCCAGTTCTCACTGTAGAATCTGCCAAGCAACAGAGAGGGTCACCAAAAGAAGAGGATGAGGAGTGATGAAGTAAACGACCACCAGAGGCATCTGACGACCACCAAGCCAGGCCAAAATAAGAACAACTAACAGTAGACAGCAATAAAGATGGTAGAATGGAAAGTGAAATCAGTATGTAAATAGTTCTTAGAATAGCAGGAGATATAGTAATTATTTTGTGGAAATATAATAAATATGTATGTAGTGAATGCACATAACCAGAAAAAAGTCAGGGTGAGCACGCTGTGGAAATATCTCTGTGTGTCTCCTGGCACCACAATAAAGAATACCTGCTTAATAGTCTCATTGGCTATTGAGTTTGAATTATTCTTTGAATCAGTGTGATGTGGGATAATCGCCCATAACGTGATGATGCTGACACTTAGTGGCTTACTTCCTAAGCTCCTGGCTGTAGGTTAGCTGTGCTATTTCACTGAAGACAGCAGTATTATTCAATATATTTGTTTTAGTTTGGAGTATGTTATATAAGAGGATTGACTAACATTTTGTTTACATACACAAACTTTGGGATGATCCACTTCTCTTTTTAATTACCATTTGAAATAGATAAAAAGTATTTGTTTATACATAGCAAACTTCTAAATTTGTTTAGTTATACATCTCTCCTAATGACCATCCCAAAATGACCTACATAATTTAGCTTAAATTTGTTAATATAAATTACAGACTAGTGACACCTAGCTGAAGGGGGAAATACTTTGAATATGTAATTTTCTATTCCATGTGTCTTCATATTGCTTTATGCAGTTACATATTTGCATTCTGAACAATGTTCCTTGACAGTAGTCCCAAAAGATTTGAAGTACAGTGTGTAAAATACACAACCTATACTGCAAAGTTACCATCAGGATTGAAAAGAATTTGTAAAGGTTCAGGTCCTCATGAAAAGCTGTTTAAGTATTAAATGCAGTTCACCTCTCTTCTAAGTCCTTTAAGACACTGAACAGGTAGATTCTGCTCACCTCAGCATTGCACCATTCACCCTTAATGGTACAATGCTAGGAGATACCATTATCTCCCTTGAGCTCTGGAATGTTCTTGATTCACTGTTTCAACTTTAATGAAGGGAATGTTTGGTAACTGTGCTGCTTAATCTTCTAATGAAATAAGTATTTGAAGATATCCAAATCTTACAGATTGTAAGTATTAACACAATTTAAAAAATAGACTTATACAAAAATAGGAAGATGTTATTTTAATTAAGCAAAAACAGAGTTATAATGACTCTAAAAATAAAATTAGACTCTTTACCAATCCTTAACATCTGCATTTAATATTTTCTTCTAAACAAAAATACAGATGTGATTATGTAGCAAATTACAATCTTCAACAACATACAGGATTTAACTTCTCTTACACTTACTTTAATTCTATTTTGGTCATTAACACTTGACTCATTACTGCAACGTGTTACTTGTATTAAAAGTGCCACAACTGAACTATAAACGTGACATGACCATCTTAAAACTGCTTTGCTATAAACTGTAGAGAATATACAGAGTTAGAAAGTCACTGTGTTTTATCAAAATATACAAAGCCCCCCAACCTAACACAAGCTAGCAATATTCTTCTTATGAACTATACAGTTATAGAAAATATTTTTAAAATTAAACTTGTATTTATAAATATTCTACCTTATTTGCTTTGGTCTATAATTATCATCATACAAGTCCACTTAAAACATATCTTTGTGTAATTTCTTTGAAACATCATCGTACTTTCCTGTGTTTATTCTTTTATTATCCTTATTTAAATGGAACCAAAGCTGCCATGAAGCCAAAATTTCTCAAAGGGTTCATAGCATTCACCAATGATAGAGTAAATATTATCAATTCAATCAATATTATCAATTGCAGTTTTATTGTACTCAAGCTATAGTTTCTTTTAAAATATTCAAGAAGACAAAGTAAGTAAACAAACTGTGTACCATATTTGCACATAAAATGGAGGATCACTAACCTTTGTCCTGATTTAATTTTTTAAGACTTCACAGATGAATCTATGTTACTAATTGGATATACAGATACAGTACAACAGAGACCTGTAATATAAAATGCAACTTGCAGATATGCACCCTCTTTGACTTTTAAAAATCTCTTAATCTCAGTTAAAATTAATAACATATTCACAAAATAAAATTAATTGTAATATTTTAGTTATGTCTTCCAGAAGCCTACTCTCCCAATTTTCAGCAAACTGTGAACCCATAAGGCTCACCACAACCCCTCAGTGTGCCCATATGAGTGATGCAAAAAGGTCAAATCAAAAAGGTCAACCTCCAGTAACCCGTTCCAGGAATTTCTCTGCTACAGCCCACTGTGCTGGGCCAAGGGACACTGCAAGGAAGCTTACCTGGGGTCAGCTGCTGGCATGGTTAGGGGGGCTGCTGAAAAGAGACAGACGAAGGTTAGATGTTGTATTTAAGGCATGGGGCTGATAGAAAACCCCACAAATGGCCCTATCCCTCTTTATACATAAGGATTGCCTCAGAGATATATACGGAAGCAAGAATCTGAGTATTTACCTACTTCTCCCAAAATCAAGTATTTAATGGGAGTTGCTCTATCATTTATTGTCCATGCATTATTCCAGGAGGAGGAAGACTCTGTCTACATCTCCTCTTCTTCTGCTTAGAAGAATGGTATTTCTAAGAAACAGCAGTTGCAGTCTCATCAGGTGGTAGACATTTATAAAACAGATTTCTTTAAGCTAGGCTGTTTCATGAGAAAAATTTTCTTTAGACCAATGTACCAGGCCACTGACATTGGAATTTATGCAGGAGGATTTACTCGGAGGATTGGCTCTTGTGAATTCACTGAATCTTTATTAAATGTCTCAGAGATATCATAAATCTAATTTCCACATAAGCACTCAGACTTAATGATTATTATGCTAAGTACAAAACCGAATACAGAAAGGAAAAGAGGTTTAAAATCCTGAATATGTTTTGTAAATGTTGAGTTACAGAAAACCACGCCAGATCTCAATTGTACTTCAGCATACCCAAGTTGATGAAACGTTTCCCACTTTCACTTTAGAATATACATTACAATTATTTTGTTTATAAACACATTTCTTTTTGTTTGAAAATGCAATATATGGTTTCTGCAGCAAAAATTCCTTCTAGAGAATACACGGTGAACCTAAATATTTATTTTACCTGGAACAATTCTGACTCACAAAGAGCACTGTAAAATAGTTCAGTGACTAGTTTCCTGTAATTCTAAGTAGAAAGGTTTTGGTTGGTCATATTTATTCTTTTTTTTCTTTCTCTCTCTACATATACATTAGAAGTCTACTGTTTCAAAAGTATTTGGGGTCTTTCACATTAAGTTTGTATTACTGCAAATACTAGTTTTTCTTTTTCTGTGCTATTTTTCCTTCTTTTGCATATAGGACATATGTTTAGATGCAGAAAATTAGTATTAGTAAATTATAGTAATTTGAGTGAAGACCTTTCCTCATTCAATGCATTCATATTTGCTCCAATGTGTAGTTTTGGATTTTTTTTTTCTCTTTTGCACAACTGTAACTCAAAGTGTAACTTCTGGAGCTACACTTTGCACATTTTTTACTTCACTTTCTGAGCCAGGGAAATGTGGATTTTTCAAAAGTTTAGTGCTTTCATTGCAAAATTGTTCTTTTCTATCTTGTGGACCTGGAGTTTTGAATAGATGTTTCTTCTGGTGCATTCCCAGAGCAGCTGCTGTCTTGCAAATTTTGGGGCACTGAAAGCAAGCGTATCCTTTTCCATTATGCTCACGTACATGCCTTTGCTCATGGTTCCTTTTGGTTGAAAGATACAAGAAGCTCTGAAAGCAAAACTGACAGTGGTAGCGTTTTTCTCCAGTATGAATTCTTTCATGTATTTTGAGTGTTTCATTTAAAGTGAATGCCTTATTACAGTATTGGCAGACAAAGTCTTTGATACCCAAGTGAATACGTTCATGTTTCTGTAGATTTCCAGGAACTGAGAAACATTTACCACAGGTTTTACAAGTGTAGGGCTTTTCTCCAGTGTGACACCTCATATGCATTTTTAAAGTGGATGGACTTTGAAATTTTTTTTGGCATAATTCACAAATATAAGGCTTTGAAGACGCTACGTGCCAGTGTACATGGTCTTGAATTTCTGCAGTGGAAGACTGATCTCTTTCACAAAGCTCACAATGAAGATGAGGCATTTCCGTGGTCTCTTCTTGACTGCCTGCCTTTTCCTCAGAAGCATTCCTGAGCACGTACTCTCGACTGCATGTGTTATGGCTTTCCATAATGGTGTTCTTGCTTCTGCGCTTTTTCCTCCATTTGGTCTTTTTCATTTTTCTTAGCTGTTTGGATTTTTTTTTGGGTTTGTAATTATAATAGGGTCTCCAGGGTTTATCACTGGAGTCCTGGTCACTTAAATCATCACACATTTCTGTCAGCTCCAGGCACTCTGAGCTATACTGCCTAGACGGGCTCCTTTCTTTTATCTCCATTTCTGATTCCTCAATTAGATTGTCCTGTTTGGACTCATGTTTAGATTTTCTGCCCCTTTTACAAAATAGCTTAGATCCTAGTATGTGTCTTTTTACAATAGCCTCATCACCAATTTTTACTGTTATTTGACAAAGAGGTGCAACGTTGCTGTCAGCAGATGTTCCAGGTAAGGCAGGCTTTGCAATGTATGTTTCAGTTTTACTTACTTCTTGGACAGTATTTGTTGTTTTGCTAGACAAACTTCCAGATCCTGACACATGCTGTGTATCCTCAATTGCTTCTGCTCTGTTGTACAGCAGTGTTTTCTTCTTCTCCTTAACAGTTTTTGATTTTGTAATGCACTTCCCATAATTATCTGATCCATATTTACAATCGTCAGTTACAGACTGACTAGGTATATTACTGGAAGATTCTAGTTTACTGTTTTCTACACAAGTGACTGTTCTACTGTGCATTATTACTGATGAAACTCTGCTACTGTGCATTATAACAGAGGGTGCAGAACTGCTGTAACTGATGACAGAGGTTGAATTTTCATTCGCATTAGTTAAAGACACAGCTGAGGTATCACACTCCTGAGAACCAGAGTCATTTGCTGCAGTGGAAACTCTTTTTTCAGCTGTGAAAAAGTCCCTTTGCAGGTTAGAATTTAAGATACCTACTCCCCAAGAGGAAGAATTCTGAGTATTTCTAGAAGATGCTGTATCACTGCATGAAGATGTATCCAAGGCAAGGGTTCTGTTGTTCGCTATAATATTACTTTGAAAATTGAGTGGTGGTAGCTCAGAGCTAAGAGAACTAGGAACAAAACAGTTAGTAGAAGCAGTTTCATTAACCTGGCTATTTGTCTGAACATTTTCATATGAAGAATTTCGGTAGGACTTATAAGGTAGTCGCCTGCATTTCATAGGTAAAAGTCGATAAAGTTTGTATGGGTACATATTTGGTTTTAAGCCTCCATTGGCTGTTTTTTTATTCACTGAGAGACGATGGTCAATTGCATGGAAAGACTTTTGATGATTTTTTAATATATAGTAAGTCATAAAAGTCTCCAGACAGAAAATGCATTGATACCGTCTTTCTCCTGTGTGCCAGATCTCATGTCTGGTGCGATATTCAGCTAATGCAAATACTTTACTGCAGTAGTGACACGGGTATGTTCTTCTCCATGAATGCACATTTGCATGTCTTCGAAGGCTAGACAATGTTACATAACTACGCTTGCAAACAACACAAGTATATAGTATCTGCCCATCAACAACTTTAACCAAATGATCTGTTTCTGGTAAAGTGCAGTTTGCATTAGAATAATCAGTAACGCTGCTTTCAGACAATAGAGACTCTGCATTTGCATATGAACTTCCATTCCTTCTGTCTGTAGCAGTACAGTTATCTGCAAAATTTTGTTCATTTCCATTGTGAACCGATAAGCTACTTGATCTCATGCAGACTTGTTCATGACTTTCCAGTATATTTAAATTTGCAAATTGTTTGCTGCAGTATTTGCATATGACAGTTTCCTGATGCTCTGAATGGACCTGAAGATGAGTACTGAGTAGTGCCCTGTCATTGAATGATTTTGCACAACAGTTACGACTGTAAGCAGGTGGAACCACAGTTGCTAAGGATCCAGAAACATTAGCAGAATTGTTTTCCTCTTCTCTGGATAAATGGAAATCTGCTTTATTCTGAGGTTTTGGGACAGAAATAATTGTCTGATCAGCAACTGCTTCACGTTGGGCTTCTGCAGTGGTTACTGTAGAGGCTCGTACTTTTGCTATAGCCAAACCAGTAGTACCCTGGGGCTTAAAAGCTGTCTTAGGAGAACTACATGCTTGTTTTCCTGGCTGAATGAGTGGTGTGGCTTGGAGATTTTGATAGTGATCTTCACCCATCTTGTATGAAGGGCTGCTGTCCTGTTCAAGAAAAGGTGTTCCTTGAAAATTATCTCCCCCAGAAGAAACTGCATAGGAGTGTTCAGCCAGTGTGCTGGTAGGCTCAGCATCTTTGCAAACATTGCTTCTATCGAAGCTGATGTTGGGAGCTTGTATTGTCTCAGATACCTTTTTAAAGTTTGCCCTCAAATCAAGTGGAGAAAACAAACTGTTTTCTGTTTCAAAAATTGAGAATGCATTTGTAATTCGTGGTCCATTTGTCACAGCAGAATCTTCATGTCTCTTTTCATGTTTTTCCTCTTTGACAGTCCCTTTTTCATTAATACAGTATGCATAGGGACAAGGGGAACTTGAAAAATTAACATCTGTAAGATCTTCTAGAAATGATATTCCCAGTTTTTTCCCTGCAGCTGCAAGGTCCGTTACAGTCTCCTGCCTCTTAACAACTACTGTGGAACTGTAGATGTAATTCAGTATTTCTGTAAACACTTCAGCCTTGAGATCATCTAACTCCAGTACATGACCTGAAATACAGATAGTACGACTCCAAAAAATGTTTTTAAAGTACAGGCTTGAAGCTGCCAGCACGTTACTATGGGCTTTAAATTTGGTATCTTCCACAATTATGGTGACATCACATAAAATACCCCGAATGCGCTGTTCATTTAAAATGGAAAGAACAGTATCACTGTGGAAGTCGTCCTTGAGATCCTTTGAATGGGACATGACTGTCATCTACAAGAAAAAAACCCAAAGAATGTAAATACATTTAGAATGCATTTTTCAATTACAGATCAAGTTTACAGTTCTATAATGTATTAACTTTTAAATGTTAAGAACGAGTAAAATTTTGTCACAGCATTTCAGGCTGAAGTCAGCTTAGGTTTACTTGTGATAAGAATACTAAAGGTAATGTATGCAAGAACACCAGTAACTCCTCAGCAGGAGGCAGAGGATCTTCTCTGTCCCTGCATGGGTCTGCCATCCACACAGCGCCTTTCACTGGGGACCACGGCCACCAGCTTTCTATTGTACCAGTGGTGCATCTGCTCAGGTTCACAAGGAATGACTCATTTAACCCTTGCGAGGATTCCCCAAGCATGCAGTTGAGGTATCTGGTAGACACTGGGAAGGCTAAACTGCTGTAGCTCTATGGATACTGAGGACTTTGCTTCCTAGGGCTGTTTGTCAGACCATGACTTTACAACACAACTGCATTTGATCCCTTATTAAGCTGATCAGAGATCCCATGCAAGAGTTTCCGTTACAGCATAAGGCTTTATAAAAAAATGCACATTATTTATGTAAACAGAATATTATTTTTAAATAGTGATTAAATTTTATTAGATAGTTTACACTTAGTTTAAAAATAATGAAAATTTCTAAGTAACTGAATTTATAGATTAAATAACTAAAACAATTGAATGTTTTTTCTTCAGTTACAGATTTATAGTGTTCACACTTTATAATTTGATTGTGTGTTCTTAAATTCTACCAAACAATATTTAATTGTAATAATAAATACTTTGAAATAACTGCCAGTTTATAATAATGTGGTTTAATGCTGAAAAAATGCTTAGATTAGCCAGGCTGTTACTGTATGAATATACTGGTTTATTTAATTCCAATAAAAGATGCAAAATATGAATGAAAAATAAACTGAAAAAATGGGTTAATTTGACAGTACATATTTGGAGAAAATATCTGATTTAACCAGATTTTTTATTTGTATTGTTCAAACTCAAATTTGTACAATATAATGAGGTTTGATATTTTTTCATCTCTGAGTGCTGTTTTCAACTACTACTGCCCATTTTGGTCCTCACGTGCTGCCTGATCTAGTTGAGAGGCGTCGCTGCCCATGACAGGGAGGTTGCATTAAATGATCTCTAAGCTCCCTTCCAGCCTAGGCCATTCTATGATTCTATGATTTCTGACTTCAAGTCATGAAGAAATAGTTTTCCTGCTGGCACTTACCAATCACTACAATAAAAAAAAAATCTGCATATTTATTAAAGACCCTTTTCTTTCAACTTGTAGAATCAAAATACACCTTAAAGAAAAAGATCAACTATAGACACTTTGTAAGAGAGATTAAAATGGCACCATACCACAGAGTTCTAATAAGTTAGGAATACCTTCTAAACATTCCATCTACTGCTCCAAACTTAAATGTTAAGCTTGAGAAGTTTTATGATGTCTCTTACCCTCAAATAGTTTACATTAAAAATGTCAATATATTTATTAACGTGGGTTACATCCAAATGGTGAAATAAAGTTTTGACCCATATTCACTAAGCAAACAGCAATGGCCATTTAGACACACTGGATCACTTAGCAAGCTATTCAGAAGTAATCCTATCTTGAAAATAGGGTCTTGATCACAAAATAAATAATATGGGACATATACCCTTGTTCTAGCTAATCTAGTCACACTTTGGACACTTCACTGCAAATCAAATTATACAAAAAACAATAACAACCTTACTGTGAAGACAAACACAATGTACTATGAAAAAGATCACAATTTGGTACGTTATGGACGAATCTCAGAAGTGAAATTTCTACCTTGCAGCATGGCCACTGTTTCCATCGGGAAGGTATTGCCTATGCAAATGGCCAAAACTTCTAATACAGTTTAACAACTGAGAATTTTCAATGCACAGAATTCAGAAAAATCAAAATTGTGATTCACGTAAAATATCTCTTATGCTTATATATGCCACAGATGTCAAGAAATGAATTCACCAGTGTAACTGTGATAAAAATCATATTGTTTTTATTATCTGGTCACTCACAGCAGCTGTAAATCTAGATGCATTGTTTTGTGCCTTTAAAACTTAAAATCATAGTTTATCATGTGTTTGTTACACTTATTTGGCTTAAAATAAGAGATATTTATTAATTTGGAATGATAACATGAAATTCACAGTAGTCATGTATGGTTATCTGCTTTGGTTTGGTATCCGAAAACCCACAAATACTGTAAATACTTTCTAGCATATTGAGTCTTCTACGGGAAAAATACTGACAATACTGCTTTTCTTCAAGCAAGCAGCCACTGTCCCACAACTGATTCTTTTTTCTCATTGACAATGTCTGAGATTACATCTGACTTGCTCATGTGATGTGGTATTAAAACCAACCGTCAGACATTAAAAACATTTCACAAGAGAAGCTACAAGAGTTATTTCCTGAGTACACGAAATAAATAATGTCAACTCTATCTATCAGTCAACGGGCCCACAGCCTGTATTTTCTCTTTATTAGTGGCAGCTGATTTTAGTTCAAAGACACATCATCTGACATACTGTTTGCTAAATATATCAGAGAGCTACTTCTAAGAGGTGTTTATAAGCAAGGCCTACAGACCCAAGTAGTTTTAGCAGCAGTCTTACTATTCAACTATTTATTTCTAGATTTATCCTCTTCAGGAGAAAAGCCAATATCTTCAATACTTGCATGTACATAGATGACCAGTTTTTGTAGTCCTGGATATTTTAGTATGTGCAGTAAAACACCAAACTAACTCCATGTGTAAAGATAGTAGAAACTATCATTTGCTATTAGGACATTTAATTTTTTTGCTGTGTGTTAAACCATCTACTGTATGCCTCACTGAAAAGTTATACAGAAAAACTGATTTTTGGAGCCAACATTTTTTGCTTCTATGTCTCAGTCTATGCCTTCTCCCAACAGCCATTTATTCATGTGAGTAATGATTATCTACTGCCTTTTATTTTACCTGTCTTGCTTCTTGCATTTGTGAAAAATGTGCCTGAAATGCTATAAAATTAGAATGCTCCACCTAGCATACACATAACTGGAATATTTTAGGAATATTTTACATTCCATTTGCAGTTCATACTGCGAAAGGAAAAACAGCTCTTCAGTTCCCAGGTGAGGTCTACTGTGACCAAGATACACAGAGATCAAATGTTTCAGATGTATGACTATTTAATATTTTCAATTAAAACACTGAAAAAATCCATTTAGAATGCTACTATTTTTCTGTATGTTTTTTATTACAGAATTATAGAAGAAATTCTAGTATTTATTTATGAATGTTGCCCAAAACGCATGTGAATACCATTTGACCTATTAAAGGCCAATAAAACTCTTCAGCCTAAGCCATTCATTTTTGACAAAAACATGTAGTATTTTCACACTTTTTACTCTCAATCCAGACAGTGTACCCCATTACACTGGAGAAGATACTCTTTCACTATGTTTCAATCAACCTAAATTTGAAAGACAAGCTAGTAGTATTAACAGAAAAAAAATTATAGCCATTTGCTAATACCCAGGCAAAACAAAATACAGCAAGATATTTAATAAACTGTAGCAATAGTTCTTCCTCTGTTTTCTTATTCCATGCATTTCTACTGGGATTTTAAAGATGCTAATATTTTTTAGCAACTTGGCAACATGACACTATGCACACATGTTCGCTCCCTAATTTTCCTACATTCAGTTTCGTTCCACTCTGTTAACATACTTTGAAGGCCATCTCTGCTTTGTTTCCAGCCTGTTTCCTTAACTGAGAAGAAACATTCATTTGTATCTAACTCTCCTAAAGGGTACTATTTTGTTCTAGAGCAGACAGGCCTGGGCATCATGAATAACCAACACAAAAAATACCAAACAAAACCAAGTACACACATAACCCCAACTCCCCCAGCTCTACTATCTTAATCCTTGCCCACCTGGAAATCTACTGTCCAACTATCTTTTTTATGATGGTGGCTCTTTTTTATGGAATCACTTCACCACTGCCATCTGGGCACTATGGCTATACATGGCTGCCTTAACCATGATCCCTTTAGCCTTCTTATAACCTCAGGCATGCAGCAAGTTTTAAGGCTGTCTAATTATGTTTCATAGCTTGCAGTGACATGATGGTAGCTTAGTGATCCAGTCTACATAGCTACATATTATTTCTACATTTACATTTTTTTAGACATCCTTCCCTATTAATATAGAATATTTACCTTTTCTTTTTTGTTATTGCCTCATGAGCACTATAGACTTTAAATCACTTTTTTCAGCCTTGCACTGCTTCCTCTAACTTTTAATTTAAGCAGCTAGGAGGGAGGAATTTAGCAGAAGAATATTATGTTGGTATTAGCAGATCTCTGAAGCCACTATATGAACCATTCTTTCAGAGTTGTATTTCTTTCCTACTATCAGCATCACTAACTCAAAAACTAACTTTAAAACTTTACCCGTGCTTAGAGCAGGTTTATGCTTTTAAGTTTGAAACCTAAAGTGAGTCCTTTCTCTGTAACTGGGCACTCTGTAACTGATCTGGCTCTAAAAATAATTTTAAAAGTATACACTCTCCGCTGCTTGTCTGGTAGCTTCTGATATCACACAGTCTCACTCTTTTGCCCACGTCCCTTCTGAACCCTCGACCTAAGCGGGCAGGGACCCCTCGGGGAGCGGCTCGCCCACACGGGGGAGCTGCACGCGCACAGGAAAAGCCCCGTCACCTTTTCTTATTGAAGATACGAAATAAAGGCTTTTACAACTGTATTAAATCTGAAACGCTAGTGCAGAGTTTAAATGCGATTGCCTCTTAATCCTGCACGAATTACATAAAAGATAAAATCCCGACACGGCACTGTTAACGCCAGTATATTTGTCTCCTTTAAAACGAAACCTCTTGAAACATCAAACATTTGGCAACCTGTCAGCTACCGACAACTTGAAGATACTTCCTGTTTATGGGTAATAGCTGCATTCTGGACCAAATAAAATCTCCGGCCGAGGAAACAATGCACATTAACCTGCAGTAAGATTTTTCCTAACAGTAACAGAAACGCTTATGCAACTTCACGCTCGAATGTAGAAAAACTCACTGTTTTTGAGCTACCTGGCGATTAAAACCATGTCTTTGGGGTTTTCTCTA